AATACGTTGTCCGCGGTATCCGTGGGAGCCAGCCTAGATTTTCTGCCTGCCGTGGCGTTGATGTATCCTAGGGACCCCAGCTGGACAAAGCTTAAACGGCATATATGAATGCAATAAGATGCGATTCCGCCGAGGTAGTCTGCTCGTGTTTCCGGCATTGCCATGCTGTGTGCTATGATTGGAAGAAGTCTGAGTAATACCATCGAAATTACATTCGCGAGGAGGATCTTTCGGAGCAATGGTGAGTTTGACGTCGTGCGGCCGTGGAATCGCATCAACACGGCAGTATCGTAGAACAGCTCCGTCGCCAGGCCGGCGTAGATTAGATAGAGAGGCCTTCTTGGGCCCCGGCCAATGAGAAAGAGACCGAGGGATGAGAGCGAGAGGACATGATGGGTGACGTATTCAGGGGAATAGCTGAGAAGCGGCAGCTCGGAGGTCCAGAGGATGGCTCGAGAGGCGAGGCAAACCTTGCCATTGGCGGTGAAGGGGCGGTCGAGCCCGAATATCTCGGTGGCGGAGGACGTGTCATTGTATGCGGCGATACAGATGGTTGTTGTGATCAAAGTCAAGAGAAAACCTAGCGGGAAGACAAAATAAGGAGCCAATTTTCGATGCTTGTCCGTCTGCAACGTCTTGTAGAAGTTTGGGTTGGCTCGTTTGACTATCTGATGTGCGCACCGGTTCGCGAGCTGATAGGCAACTAGGCCCGCGACGAAAAGTACCCAGTCTGGGACGGCCATGATGGTCGGATTACTCTGGTGCGAGGTATCACAATGCAGAGGGTGTCAACGACAGCCACGAGGTTTTATATGGCAAAAACACAGTGGTTGCGACAGTGAGAGTCTGCGACATATTGGGCCCGTTAGCTTGCTGACTGACATCCCTCTATCGGGCCTTCATGAGGTAGAAGCTTCGTGCAAGTCAGCCAACATGCGTCTTGCTGCCTTGTCCAGCGATAGCCGACCAGCGCCGTTGATAAGATATAACTGGCATCTCACGTAAGCCTCTATACGGCTGATGTGCCTTGCAGATATATTGCAGCATTCACAGTCTGTATGAGATAGTCGTAAAGAGTACAGAGACCACGTGCTACAATGCGTCAGTTTGAGTCACAATTGGCCAATCTCAATACAAAAAGGTTGATAGCGAGGATGGGTAGCCAGCGGTTGGAAGATGTTATCCGCTCGAGCTCTCCAACATGTCATATCATGGACCGAACCGACTCCATAGCCAGTGCTGAAGCCAGAACTCGAGCGGCAAGCCCCAGGGTCACGGCACTTCCAGGTCTCGGCATTCACATGGGGCGGCCGTCCGATCCGGAGGTGGACCCACGGGGCCGGCGTGCCGCATGTCTGAAGGCAGGAATCTGTTGATTATGTTGAAAGTTTGGGACGCTAGAGCCTATCCATAGAGCACCACGAGGGACTGTCGATCTTGGCCGGCGTGCCATGTTCCCGTGATGCGGCTCATTTGTAGGGATTGCGGGAGTAGTGTTAATCTCGGGGGATTCCTTTGCCAGCTGGACAAGGATGATGGCGCAGGGATGGCTCTCAAGGCGATGCTTCAGTTTTCAGGTGATTGAGGTTGGAAGAGGAAACGAAACAAAGAAGCTCCGGGTCTATCGACGTACGGAGTACATAGTGGCCGTACCCATACGAATACTCGTACAGACAACAGAGACTGCGCCCTATAGATGTGAAGAAGTCACGAAGAGGGAAAGACGTCGTGCCGGGTACGTACCTGATAGGCGCCGTCCGGGGATTTCGGGTGCCGTTGGGAGGTCAGGGGAAAATGGGAAACCTGAGGTTGCCAGGTTGGTAAGGTGGGCTGTGGTGCTACAAGTAATTTAATGGAGTCTTGGCGGCTCGAAGCTGTCAGTTTTTGGAGCCGCAAGTGATTGGTCCTTCCGTATGGTTCGTAGACGGTACGTACCGTGAGTGGCCGTGTGCTGCACTGTCAAGCAGCTACTGTGCAGCTGCCCCCTATTTGAGGCAGGAAATTGAGAGTTCCATCCAAATTCCCGGTGGCCTTGGCACTGCGTAGCCACTGGCTTCGCTACAAGGTTTGGTGGAGCCAGTGGGGATACGTACAGTGTGAACGAGGACTAAGGTTAATTGCGGTCGAGACCTTCTTTCAAGGGCAGGTTCCTTCCTTCCTTCTCCAGCACTCCAGCAACCCAGGTGTTCTTTCCTTCTCCAGTTGCCAATCCCTCCCATCGGTGCCTTCCCAAATTCCACTGCCCGCTGTCCCTCTGGTCTTTCCTCAGCTCACTTCAGTGGCCATGTCACCCTCTCACTCACTTATGTGCCACTCTCACTCCCACACTCACTTTCACTCTGAATCGCACTCACTTTTGACCAAGACTTGTCAAGACACCAAGCCAGCCAATGTCTGGAATAAACGATCGCCAGTTTGACTTGTCATCGCCCAAACACGCGCGATGTGTTGGCAGCCCAGCGGCTCGCACGGCAACCGGTGGCACTCGCTCCAAGTCGCTCATACCCCCCGTGGCGTCCGGCTCTCTACCGTCGTGTGATCTGCCTTGGCCGAACCGATCGCTCCTTGGCGTACATAAACAACACAATGCCCAAGCCTGCCGGTTATGCACCCAAGGCCAAGCTTGAAGAAAGGGATGTGGATGTGTGATGTTGCCCTGTTTTTTTGGGTTTATTCTGCTCTTTACGTCTCTTCTGTCTTCCATCGCGCGTGTCGGGACCTGTAACTCGTATCACGGTCTCATAATTCGTATTGAACCTGGCCTGTCTGCCATCTGACAGCTTGCCTTGCGCACAAGGCGAATGAGCTGAGCAGAGCTGACAGCCCGAAGTGACCTGAGCTGACATGCCATCCGAGGTGTTGCAGCTGACTAACTTTTATCCTGCAGCACGATAGGTTCTGACCTGTTGGGATGAGACGCAGACACGAGCTCTCACTTCTTAGTCCTTACCGACACACATCCAAACTTGCATTTTGACCCGATTCCAGCTATTGATTTGCTTTCGATTCCGTTTGTTTGCTTGGCATTCTCCGGCACTCAATCCCTTTCTGCTCTGCCACGCCTTTGTTGCGCTTCATTGTACTCCGTATCCGTACAACCAATCCTGCCCTTGAAGTTCACGTACCTGGCTTGGACCATCCCTCCAACGGCTCTTCCCATGTGTCGGACGGCCGATCGCTGCTCATCTCAAAACCGCGAGTCAACGATCAGCGGCCACTCTGTCCGACGCATCACAGAGCACCACCAGGCCTCAGCCTCTCAGTCGCACTCAACATCAATCTCCCTCGCCGGCCCTGAGACGCCATCGCCATCGCCAAGGCGCTGCTGAGCCTTAGCTCTGAGCGACCCCTGGATCCATCGTGCCTCCGTCCCCGTTTGTGCTTTTCGGGGCTTCGGAGGCATCAGCCATATCCACATTGAAGTCCATTGAAGGCAGGACTCCTTCTGCCCTCTGTAATCCCCTTGCCTAACCCTTCGGAGCGTATGGTGCCCGTGGGCCGTGAGTCGTGACAATCCCTCCCAAGTTCTAACTCCCCGTAGCCTGTAGGATGACGGGCAGAGAGAGGACTCCCGAGTCCCCGCGTATTTGGCGAGGAATGAGTCTTGGCAATGTTCGTTGTCGGGTAGGGATGGCTGGTTCTGTTTGAGAGAGGCTTTTTTGGCGTGCTCTTTCGCGGGACTCGTCGTCTTGGGTTGTCCTTGAACCCAAATGGCGTCTGGTCAATTGTATGTAGTTCGTCCCTATCTGTCTGTTCCCAGCCGTCACTCGCGATTGTCCCATTGACATTGAGAGGTAAACCATGTCATACCCCATTCCCCCAGCCTATCCATCCATCCATCTCTCTGGTTCTCTCTCTCCATAGGGGTTCACCCGGTTGGTGTGGTCCGTGTATGCATTCAACAGCCTGTCTTCCAGTTTCCGGGTCTCTACATACTGCATGAGGTGAGGTGATCCTTCGTGCTGCCCGCGTTGCCTGCCCTTGCAGATGGCGGAAGAGGCAAACCATGAACGGTGGGACCGTAACCGCCCTGTGAGCCTTGGATAGAATGGATGGTCCCGAGACTGGCGGCATCTCATGAAATCCATCTGGTCTATTTGGTCCAAAGGGGGCCCTTGCTGGTGTCGAACCTTGTGAAGGGTGCTCGAGTGCTGCCCGGCCCAGGCATCTTCTCAACTTCTCATTTGCTGCACAGCCCCGATGCCCAGAAGGCCAAGACTTTACCAAGAATACCAAGACTTTCGCGGCCACCAAGACTGATTTCTACCGCGTCATCCTGTGCCCTCCTGTGGTGTTTTTTCCGTGTCTGTTGATTCCCATTTTCTTGTGTTCCCAAAAAGCCCAGAGTTGCCGAGAAGGAAGAAAAAAAGTGGCCTTGAAAGCCTGTTTCCCCCCCTTTTCCTTCCCTTTCCCGTGCATCCTGATTCTGAGCTGTGAGAAGACAAAGCTGTATTGGTTAACCTGCAACCATCCCCAACTCACACCAGTCCATCGTTTATTCCTCCACCTCAACTCGAATAAACACGCACAGCTTACACACCAAACTACAACCTTCGCTTCATTTCTCGCCGCAGGATTTTCACTTGTCCATACCAGCCGAACCCCCAATCAGGGAAATCAATCGTAGTAAATAAAAATCGACACTCGCTTCCGACGACGAATACGAATTTCTGACCGACCGATCGACCGACACCTCTCACCGCAACCACAGTCTCTTTTACGGCCCCTTCTACCTTTTGCGCCGCCCATTCATGAACAGTCGCTTCTCATAAACGAAAAACCTTCTTTTTCAAACTTCGACCCGGCTTTCATTTTCAGTCATAATCGACTCATTCGGTTTCATTTCAACTCACTCGTCGTCACCCCGAACCCCTCCGACCGATAAATCGATTCGACCGCCTTCTCCACCCGATTCTAAGGGATCTTGCATTACACCTCATCAATCTTGTTTCCTCATTCAGCAGCGCTTTACGTCTTCTTCCGTAGACCGGCTCTTCGCCATGGTCGCTTCACTCGCTTCTGCCGCTTCGGCGGCACTCTTGCTCGTCGGCAGCCTCCCCGCCGTCAACGCGCAGTACACCATCGACACAACTGGTAAGCAAGCCGAGCACCTCTCACCCCACGGTCATCATCGCGCCCCACGATGAGATGCAATGCGGCCCATCATCCCGCAGAATTCCTTCTGCTAACACCGCTTCTTCCCCACGGTTCAGACAACATAAAAAAGTCGGCAAAAATGCTCGCATACGACCTTATCAAACAGTACAAGGGCAACCAGACCGGCGAGATCCCCGGTATTTTACCTGGCCCGCCAACCGAGCACAAGGGCGACTACTACTGGTGGGAAGGAGGCGCCATGATGGGCACTTACATCGACTACTGGAAGCTGACGGGCGACTCGGCCTACAACGACCTCGTCATGCAGGGCATGCTTCACCAGACCGGCCCCAATGCCGATTACATGCCGCCAAACCACACCGCATCGCTGGGTAACGACGACCAAGGCTTCTGGGGCATGTCCGCCATGTTGGCCGCAGAGAACAAGTTCCCGAACCCGCCCGAAGAGAAGCCTCAGTGGCTGGCACTGGCGCAGGCCGTGTGGACGACGCAAGCTAGCCCCGATCGCCATGACGATACCTGCGGTGGAGGTCTGAGATGGCAGGTGCCTTTTTCCAATGCTGGATACAACTACAAGAACAGTATGCGGCCCCCGAGCGAAATCTAGGTTCCTAGGAGGGGACATCCGGGACGCAGAGGTAGCTAACGCATGTCGCAGCCATCGCAAACGGATGTTTCTTCAACATTGGCGCCCGCCTCGCCAGATACACCAACAACGACACGTACGCGCAGCACGCCGAGAAAACCTGGGACTGGCTCTGGGCCGCCAACTACATTGACCACGAGTCCTGGAACGTTTACGACGGCGGCCACGTCGAGCACAACTGCACCGACGTCAACAAGCAGCAATTCTCTTACAACGCGGCCATTCTCACGCAGGGCGCCGCTTTCATGTACAACTACGTAAGTGCCACCTCACGAATGCAGGTGGAAACCCTCTAGCTACGACCTCATACTGACCGTGACCAGACCAACGGTTCCGACGTCTGGAAAGGCCGCATCGAAAAGATGACAGAGTCCCTCTTCCTCAACTTCTTCCCCAACAACACCGCCTACGAGCTGGCCTGCGAGGGCCGCAAGGGCCAGTGCACCGCCGACATGTTGTCCTTCAAGGGCTACGTCCACCGCTGGATGTCCGTCGTCACGCAGGTCGCCCCCTTCATGAAGGACAAGATTCTGCCCGTCCTCAAGGAGTCGACGCAGCACGCCGTCAATCAGTGTACGGGCGGCGCCGAGGGTCGCACCTGCGGCTTCTACTGGAACGAGCAAGTCTATGTCGACCCGGCCGTCGACAAGACCTCTGGTGCCGGTGAGGTCATGAACGTCTTGGCTGCCGTGTCGAGTCTTCTTATCGAGGATGCTGCGCCGCCTGTGACGAATTCGACGGGTGGTATTTCAGCGGGTGATCCTGATGCAGGAAGCAAGAGTAAGGATAACATTGAGCCGGAGCCTATCACGACGGCGGATAAGGCTGGCGCGGGTATCCTGACATTCATCGTCCTTGCTGGTGGTTTGGGTACGTGGGGATGGATGAGTCTGGGTGACTGAGGGGGTGGGGGAATGTGAGAGGCAGTCTGAAGAAAGGAGGCATGAGATACCTAAAGTAATGGGTTGTTTGATTTGTTGTACGGATTACATATCAGGATCGCATGGCATGGCGTTCTGGGTAAACACTGCAGGAGGGGAACTTGACTAGCTCCCACTGCCACGAATTACTTTTCTTACTTCAACCACTTTCCACTGTTACTACCTTGTGACCTACGCGATCGGGGGAACGACGCCAATAGGAAGCTTGACACATCGTTGCGACTTATGAATACTTCCACGCCCAAGAGAGTCGTGACGGTGTTCAAGCCTCACCTATTGGCGAAGTGGAACTTGCATAGAATATCAACCCCAGCCGTCAGGAGACTTGGACGCTGCATCTCAAAGTCCGCTCTCGGTTCGTCTCGCCATGTGGCGCACGCCGTCTGATGTTGAGTGACTGCTGCAAGGGTGCTGCCTGTGCAGGTACGAAGTCTATCTGTGGTTATTATTGGACATGGTGGGGTGATTGCAGAATGCTCAAAAAGTTATTCTCACTATCGGTTCCAAATTGATTCGGAGCATTATGGTCCGTTCTCTTAGTCCAGTTGATGGAAGCATTGAAGCACGACACAGATACTGATTGACTTGTAACAGAGGAATAGCATTCTGGCTCTTATTAAGTCGTTCCAAAGGGACGGGTCATTTTAAGGCTACGCAAGTGTGCATCCAAGTTTTAAGCTTATCCGGGGGTTCCCCATAGACGTGCCGAATATCCGCCCTCACGAAAGTCGCTTCCCATGGGCTTCACTGCCTGGCGACGGCGGGCGTGAATATTCAAGCACTTATCTACCTGAACCCAAAAGTCAGAAAGCACAAGAAAAGAAAAAAATTTATGACTTTTCAGGGACAGACTTGAAGAAACTGAAGAGTTGAGCTGGACTCAGAGTAGCTTGTCTTGTTGATGAGTCGCTCTTCCAATTCTATAGCCTTCCAAACTGTGCAGTGGGCAAGGTAAACACGCAAAACCCGTGCTTTTTTATCGAAGAATCGCAAACATCTCAGAGTCGAAGCGCTACCAAAGGGATAAATTTGAGGCTCAGCCAGATAGGGCCATTGTTTGGCTCGATCCAGACCAAGGCGGATGGACAGACGCGAATAGACATCCATTAGTTATGGGTGTCACTAGCGATGAAGTGAACATATATTTGAAATCGCACGGTATCGGAGGAGAAATTGCCATTATTTGTAAATATCACATAAGGCGGCATTCATATGCTCTCAGGTGCCCGATAATAGGGAGCACGTCACTGGCCATCCCCTCTCGGTTCCTTCCGATACTCTCGGAAGCTCTTCTCAAAGATCTGGACTAGAACGTAAGGATGCGGTAGTTGAGAGTTGTGAAGTGGCTGGCCCTTCAGAATGTAATCTGGTGTGTTAAAGTGGCCGTTGCCTTCGAAGATTCAGAGCCCAGCCCACCAGCCCACCGACAAACTGGTAAGTTTATTTTGACCATCTACTTCTGGTGGACACTATCATAGCGCCTCGGTAACGCCAAAGGGGGAAAAGAACAAACAGAGAATTGCTGCACTGTTATCGTTTTCGAGCTTGGTGAGGCCAATGAACCGGCATCTCGTAGCGATGACCAAAACTGCACTTGAAGGCTTTTGTGCAAGAGGCAGACAAAGCCTTGCTAACAAGACGGAATCCGAATGGATTGACCACGGCAGGAAAACTGCTGAGTAAATATGTAATGAGATCGTGTTTCAATGGGGCGAGAATTCTAGCTTGCAATCCAGTGATAAATTGTCATTCAAGTTCAAGCGTAATTGGGCAGAATTTGAAGGTTCGGGGCTGCAGCAGCTTGCGATGATCGTCACGTCAAAGCTAGCAGCTCCCACCGGCAATTCAGATTAGATGCAATCAGGGCTTTGGATCGCCCGAGTCGTGGATAGACAGATACCCACGCGCATTCAAGGCGGCTCTTAGTTTAAACATGCTCAGTTGGTGAATCCTCCCCGAAACAGCCGCTCAGAGTTGTGCCGATTTGCCGCTAAGCCAATCAAGAGTTGTCAGCATGGCTAACCCCAGTAAATGGGCATCGTATACTCGCTACGAAAACCCGCCGTAACCCAGTCGCAAACCCCTTCATTTGAACTCGGCGAGTTTTGCCGCTCAGAGTCAACCATGTCAATCATCGAAACGACCAGTTTTAATCCTTGGATTACTCCCTATGTACAGAGTAAACTACTATAAGATGGATGTAACCTAGCGTCTTGGCTTTTCCTCGTCTCCTCGCACTCTGCAGCTGTGTACTGACCTATCATTTTGATTCATTCACTCTTTTCTCTCAAACAGCCAAGATGCGTTCATTCTCTTCCATTGCCGTTCTCCCCCTCGCTGCGCGAATCGTCGCTGCTGGCAAGTACGATGCGTGGAAATTCGGTAACATGTTCACCCTCGGGTCCGACAGCAGTGTCATCACCAAGGCCACCTACACCCTCGTTCCCCCGTCCATTCCCTGCGGCACCGTCATCAGTAACAAGGACGACCAGCCGTGGATGTCAATCTGGGTTGGCATCTCCCAGTCCGTCAGCGACCAGGGCAGCGATCTCTTCCAGCCTCTCTTGAACTGGGCCCCCGATAACTCTGCTGCGTGAGACATGTCCGGCTCTAGGCTTCTTCTTGTCATCGACTAACGAAATCCTCCATAGCGGCTGCCCTGCCTCGAACACCGAGTGGTGCGTGGCTGCCAGCACTTTCACCGGTTGTAAGTTTAAGAAACCCAAACTTGCGGATTTGTAGGAGTATACTAACAAGCCGCAGCCACCCAGGTTGCCCAGCCATACATCGCCATTCCCTCCAAGTCCGACGTCGACTTTGAGCGTACGTTCCAGATGCTTGTCTCATGACTGTGTTAGTGCCGAAAACTGACTGTCCTTAGTCGTCTACGATGCCTCCAAGGGTGTAACTCAGAAGGTCTGGATCAACGGTGCCATGGTCTCGCAGCAGACCGACGGTAAGTACTTCTTCTACCTCCCCCAACCAACGAGACAATACTGACGGAGAGCCCAGTGGACGGCAACGGCAAGGCCCCTACCTACATCTACTCCAGCAACGAGTGTTACCAAGGCGCCTGCGGAACCCTCCCTGCCTACAGTAAGTTGACTGAGCCTGCTATCTTGAATTGGGATGTGTTCTCGTTCGCTAACTTTACACTCTCAGGCTGGAGCAACCTCACCGTCGTCCTTGCTAAGGCTGACAAGACCTTTGGCGATTCTCTTCAACTTACTGGCGCTACCTCGACTGGTATCAAGACGACCGACGACGGCAAGACTTGGCACGTTGATGCCATCAAGATCAACCAGGACTTCTTCTACACTGACGGCTCGAACAAGCAGTGCTAAAGTTGCCAAAGATACTAAGAAGGGAGATCTAGTTAGAAATTCCTCACTTTAGGGCTCAGCAGTCACCCTTTGTTTTTCTTCAAGCCAATTTCATAATTGACTTGGCTTGATGTATTCAGGATCCTATAATCTCAATCAGACGTATCCATTTGAGATAATTCCGACCCAAGTAGCTTAGCCGAGATCATGTCACTGGCCATAGGTCTATCCTCTTCATCTAGCATGATGTTTTTAGGATTCAAATCGTTGTGGGCATGTCCAAAATGATGCATATATTTCTCTCTGCCATATGTTCCCCATAGCAACACAGTTGTGTGGACAAGAGGCTGACAGTAACCATCCACCCGTGTTCAAAGAATTATTTTACAGCGTTTCAACAAAATCCCGACAATGAGCTCGTTCTTCTACATGCACTTCTTGAACTGAACCAGATTCGGGGAAGGATGTTGCCGGATGCGTTGGTTTACTCCGACCTCTTCAAGAAAGCCGTCAGCAATTACTTTGGTACTTGTTACGTGCTACCTGAATGTAGACAGCGACGTTGAGTCGTTTAAACCAAACATCATCAGCATGAGTGAAGTTTGAAGCATTGAATGTGGCCGTATTAGGTACCAACAGAGGGTAGTTTTCGCTGTCTGGGCACAACGAACATAGTTGGATGCTTGTTCATGGCTGACTTGTGTGTTGGGGGATTTTGATGCTCCCGAACCAAGCTGCATGTTAAGTTTTCTAGTAGTTATGAACGACATGTACTGGAATTGGCTTGACTGCAAGGTTTCGAAAACAGTGCATGATCTTTGTTACATCAAACGCATCTCTGGGGTCTTATATAGATCTCCCGTGTCCCTGGGTAACCATGAGCATATTCCCTACGGTGTCCGGATTCAGCGAATTCTCTGCCTCTTTCAAAGCTTGAGCCACAGCAACAGAGCCCCGCTCGACGACGTCTGCACCATACGCTTCCATGGTGCCTTTGCGACTGGTAACCTCACGAACGTCTCTTAACCTTGACAGTGTATTTATGTAGTTCTGAACATCAATGATCGCGTGCTGAAGTCCCTGGCCTCGGACTAGTGATGGCGTTAGTTCCAAAAGGCTGTCCCAACAGTAACCGCAAAATCAAGTCTGACTTACACGGCAACATTGGATGAGCGGCGTCTCCTGCCAAGGTTACTCTACCATCGTGTGTCTCCCATGGGCTGGGAAGCCAGTACTTCATCTCGTCAAGATAGCAGGAGCTTCCTACCGGCGTCCATTCTAGAGCAGATCGGAACGGCTCGCAGATGCCTGATAGATCTTTTTTTGCATAGTCAATGGCTTCTTGGCCATTCAGGCTGACGGAGTGGCCGCGCCATACTTTGACCCAGAAGGTCTCCCAACTGGCAACATCGTTCGGATCTTCCGCGGACATGACTACAATCTTAGCTTAGACGCGCACGAAAACCTTTCGAGCATCCATATACTCACCACCACAGCCAGCCAGGTTTGCCGTTCCAAGCATGAGCGCGCACACAGAATGTGCCTTCACCACGGCGTTGACCTTATCTGCGTCCCCGTACTTGCAGACACAGTTCGCGATGGAATATCCCGATGGCACTGGCCTAGCCTTCTCAACCC